GACCCACAAAGCCACCAAACTGAAATGGTTCTTGAGTCGTGCAGAGAATGACAAACGCATCTCCCTGCAGTCAGGGATGCAGGTATCACTTTTAGCTGACAACGGACCAGTATTTGTCCACATGCTAGATGACAGAGGTGACAGAGGAAGAGCACGACTGCAGGGAAAAGACTCACCTAAAATCTGTGGACGCAGCTAAAAAGGAAGGATCAGGAGCCTCTTCCGCAGACCTCTTCTTCTTCCTACAAATCCTTGAGGCCAGGGCCACACAATCTAGTTTAACTCTTGTGATAAACTCTGTGTGTAGTTTGCTTTTAAAAATCTGGAAACTGAGTGCTGGCACTAGTTAGAGACCCCTCAGGGAGTCAGCAGAACCCAAATTCTGCCCTCAGTAATTCGGTGCTCATGTGCCACTCAGCTCTTCCCCACTGCTTTGTGTTCTGAAAGTACTAGAAAGACCCTGGGCCTGCTGGCTTTGAGCTGTTCCAGTGAGTGATGTCTCTGTCTTCAGCGGGCCATGCTGAGCCCTCTCTGGTGGTGACTAAACCTGGGTAGTAAGCAGCGGAGGGAGGTAAGCACACAGGCTTGGGCAAAGGCTTGGGAGCAGCGGATCCTGGGGCGCGGGCAGGCCCAGAATGCCCCAAAGTATAGCATGCGTATGTCCACAGGTGAGTACCTAATCTCCTTCGAGGCCCAGGGATTTATATGGAAGCTGCAGCAGGTGGTAAAGGTGCCCTTGCAGAAGACGGAAGTGGTTCAGTTTCCAGACCAGCTGTCCATCTCCTGCACTGCCTCCCCTGGCTTCCAGCTGAGCTGCTGCTTTCCCAGCACAAACCTGGTCTACAGTGCTGCCTGGAGCCCCAGGGAGAGCAGCCAAGGTAGAAGAGGGGACCGATGTTGGGATCAAAGGGGGAAATGGGCAGCTGGTCTCTTCTGGGCAGCTGGGTTTCTGGTGCTGACAAGATAAGGCTGGTGTAGAAGCTGGGAACTGGGGGGTCCAAGGCCAGCACTGTTGTCTCCCAGTCAGAACACTCACAGTTCAGTTGATATAGTACAACCACATAAGACACTGCAGAACACTCCCATCCACACAGTCTCATTTAACTCTTGTGATAAACTCTCTGCTGGTTATTTTGATGGTGACACCCATTTTACAGATGAGGAAACTGAGTCCCAGAGCTAGTAAGAGACCCCTTCAGGAAGCGTCTCAGAAAAGCCCAGTAGTTCCGCCCTCAAGAGTCCGGTACCCATGTACCACTCAGCTCCTCCCCACTGCTTTATGCTTCTGAAAGTCCTGGAAAGACTCTGGGCCTGTTGGCTTCTGAGCTGTTCCAGCAAGTGAGAGTCTCATCTCTTGTCTCTCTCCCCCTTAGTCTCCTTACTGAACAGGACAGGCTCTCGGTGCCTACTGCTGGACGTTCAGCACTGCCCGGAAGCCAACACCATATACACCTGTGTGCTGGAGAGTCAGGGCCTGGCTCCTCTTAGGAGATCTGTTGCCATCACTGTCATCCAGGGTATGTGGGGCCTGGGGATCCCCCAGGTCGTCTGCTAGCTGCTTGCCCTTGGACCGGGAGCCTCCTCCTTGATGTTGCTCTGCCAACCGGGCCAGGCTCTGCGGCTCAGGTTAGAGCCCAGGAAAAGGCTCAGTCTGGGCAGTGACTACTGAGTCCTCCCTGTTTACCATTCTTCAGATGGAGACATTGTCTGCCCTGCCGACTTCTCAGCTGCTGCCTGGAATGTCACTAAAGCTGGCCATGTGGCGCAGGTCCCATGTCCCATGAACAAGACAGGCACAGTGGAGAGACCCTGTGGGCCTGATGGGATCTGGGGGCCCATCCAGAACAACTGCATAGACACGGGGATCCTGGCCTTGTATGACGAAGCCATGGTAAAGCAGCTGCCCACCTGTCTCCCTCCACAGTCCCCGCTTAGATCTAGTTTTAGGATCCTTCCCCCCAGGCCAGCCTGTGAGATCTTTGGCTTCTATCACAGGGAGCTCTAGCAGAGCCCGGGAACAGGCGTGGGGGCCTCCCAAGGCCCGCACTCCGCTTGGGAGTGGGATGGTGCTGTCACGCCACAGTCCCATCAGGCACCCCCTAACCTAGCATCAGCATCAGTTGCACCCTCCAGGCTCCCTCAGTCACCTCTCTGCTTCCTGCACCCCAGAACAGGTGTGGGCACACAGGGGCAAGGACAGGAGGAAGAGGGGGCAGGAGGAGGCGAGGATTCTCCTGCCACTCTCCTTCCTGCCATCTCGTCCGCCCCAGCTGCTGCAGGCCGGCCAGGGAAAGCCTGATGAAAGGGTGCCACAGATCCTGGAAATGCTGCAAGAGCGGGTAGAGGTGGCGAGCACGCCCTCTGACTTACTGAAACTGCTGAGCACCGTGCAAGTACTGGCCAGCGTGGTGGCCGAGGTCAGAACAGCGCTTAAGCCCAGTGCCCTGAAGGTGAGAGCTCTGAGACTCAGTAGATGCCAGCTGGGCAGTGGGGGTGGAGGCTCCTCACTCGCAGCCCTCCTGCCCGTCTCACATCACCATGGGCGGCCAGGCTCCATGGGTGTGCGGTGTGCAGTGCTAGGAACACAGGGCAATGGGAAGGCAGCAAGGGGTAAGGAGACGCGAGTATGGAGGTGTCTGTGTACATGCAGACAGGTGGATCTCACACATGCACACGCCCACACACGTGCACATACATGTGACCCTGCACGAAGACACTCAAACACACTTGGCTTTGCTGGACCTACCTAAATCACCCAGTAAGGACAGTAGTCACCCCAAAACTTCAAATGAATAACGAGGGCCAATGACGTCACGCACTCTTCCTGTCTGGACTGCATAGCGTATGTGGCTGTACAGACATGAATGTGGCCTGTGACTTCAGAACATTGTGCCCCTGCTGCTGGCCACCGTTCCTAGCTTTGAAGAACTGGAAGGGGTAAGGAATTGGAAGGGGCCCCTCTTTTTAAGCTCCAGGTAGCCCCAAGAGGTTGTCAGACAGAGGGGCTGGGTGTGTCAGGAGACCCTGTGCTTGACAACGCCCCCTGCTGGTTGGCTGAATAGTCCCCCAGTCTTCCCATCTAGAAAGTCCCCTTCACAGGCCTGTGTTCTGTGCCATTGTTCTCCGGCCCTGAGTCTTGCATGGCATAGGAAGGGTACGGTCAGGGTCTGTAGGTCCTAGCTCCCCTGATTCAGCACCATGGGCCCCAGCAGATCAGACTTGTCTCTCTCTTGGGTGCCACAGGATCTCCTGACAATGACGGACAAAGTCCTAGACATGCACAGCAGCTCTCTGTGGACCATGGCCCAGGCCAAGGAGCCCTCGATGGGCTCAAATTTCCTGCTGGCTGTGGAGACCCTGGTACGCAGTCTGTCCCCCAAGGACCACCCCTTCTCCTTCAACTCCTCCAATGTGCTGCTGCAGAGTCGGCTCCTGGAACCCACATGTGCTGAAGACTACAAAATCTCCTTCTCCACTCGGCCCCCATTGCAGGCCTGGATTCCCAAATATTCACTGACCCCACCGGTCCATAATGGAACCAGTATCAGCATGACCAGTGTGGTGCTGCAAAAATTGGACCACCTTTTGCCTTTCAACCACGGGCAAGGGCTGGGGGACCTCCAGTATGCCACCCCCGGCCTGGTGCTCGTCATCTCCATCACGGCAGGTAGCGAAGCCTTCACTCAAGCAGAGGTCATCATGGACTTTGGGCATACAGATGGCAACCTGCGCTGTGTCTTCTGGGACCATAATCTCTTCCATCATGCAGGAGGCTGGTCAGATAAAGGCTGCCGGGCACAGGCAGCTAATGATAGCCTTGTCACTCAATGTATCTGCCAGCACCTCACTGCCTTCTCCATCCTCATGTCCCGGAATACTGTTCCAGAAAACCCTGTCCTGACTCTCCTGAGTCAAGTGGGCTTGGGTACCTCCATACTGGCACTGCTCCTGTGCCTGGGCGTGTACAGGCTGGTGTGGAGAGCCGTGGTTCGGAACAAAGTTGCCTTCTTCCGCCATGCTGCCCTGTTCAACATGGTGATATGTCTGCTGATCGCAGACATTTGGTTCCTGGTATCCTCAGTCTTTGTTCCAGGGACTCATGACCTGCTCTGCCTGGCCAGTACCTTCCTCTGTCATTTTTTCTACCTGGCCACCTTTTTCTGGATGCTGGCGCAGGCCCTGCTGTTGGCTCACCAGCTGCTTTTTGTCTTCCATCAGCTTTCCAAGCCCCTTGTTCTCTCCCTGATGGTGATCCTTGGCTACCTGTGTCCCCTGGGGTTCGCAGGTGTCACTCTGGGCCTCTACCTGCCTCAAGGGCAATACCTGAGGGAAGGGAAATGCTGGTTGAATGAGAAGGGTGTGGCGGTGTACACCTTTGCAGGGCCAGTGCTGGCCATCGTGGGCGTGAATGGGCTGGTCCTCGCCATGACTGTGCTGAAGTTGCTGAGACCTTCACTGTCCGAAGGGCCCCCGGTTGAGAAGCGCCAGGCTCTCATGGGGGTGCTCAAAGCCCTGCTCATTCTCACACCCATCTTCGGCATCACCTGGGGCCTGGGCCTGGTGACTCTGGTGGAGGAAGCCTCCATAGTCCCTCACTACATCTTCATCATCCTCAACAGCTTCCAGGTAGGTGCGTGCAGGCTGGTGGTCTGTGCTTACCGCCCTTTTCAATGGCCTACGCCACTGCCAATTGTTTCTCAAGGAGACAGCGTGTTGCAGCAGAAGAAATTAGTTCAGCAATTTTAGGAGGCCTAGGTATAGATCCCAGTTCCTCCACGGACTCACTGGATAACTTCTGACAAGCAAATTACATATCCTCTCTGCACTTTAGCTTTCTTACGTGTAAAATAATATCTGACATTGCTAGACAAGGAAACTGTCTGTACCCAATCCTGTGGTGTCCATATTGTAACCATGACACTAAAAAAACAGCCTGAAATGGATCATATGCAGCAAGTGGTGCTAACTTCAGAAAGTCAAGACAGGACTCTCAGGGTGGGGATGAGGCCAGAGGATGGAGCCTGCAGGAAGAGGAGAGGGAGCAAGCTAACTCCAGTTGACTCCCTGCTCCTCCAGCTTTTCCCCAATCTCTCTTCACAGGGAGTCTTCATCTTACTGTTCGGTTGCCTCACAGACAAGAAGGTAAGTCGGCCAGACCAACCCCTGCCTGGCTGGCAGCCAGAAGGGGGGGCCTTGACTGCCGCAACTCGGGCATTTACTTCTCCTCTCCAGGTGCAAGAGGCCTTATGCAAACGCTTCTGCCACACCCGACCCCCTAACTCTGCCATCTCCCTGGTGAGTTGCTGGCTCCAAGGCCCCAACTGTCTCCCAAGGTCAGAGAGGCCCACAGCCTTCCCCAGAGGTGGGCACAGCTAGATGCCAGGAAAAGAAGAGGATTGTTCTTTAGAATGCATAGGTTTCAGGTTCAGGCTCTCTGACCACGACAGGAGCAGGTGAGCCAGAGCAGTCAGATTTCCAGGTTCCTGACTATGACCTGGATCCTGAGGATGCTCTTGCCCTGGTTTCCCCTATGTGAAAATCGGCCCCAGGTTAGGATTTGAAGGGAAAGGCAGAATTGATGCAAATAGGATGATGCAGCTGAGAGCGAAGTTCTGGAGATTACTGCATCCCGGGCAGGGGCCAGTCGAGAATGTCACAGTGGATACAATCTCTTCACAGAGGCGTTGACTATGACAGTGAGCACCCAGCAGTTAGTTGGGTCTTTCCATCTCTTCCTAGGCCACAAACGAAACCTACATTTCCAAACACAGCGAGGGAGGAAGCCAAACTGCCAGATGAGGACCAGCTTTCTCAGGAGCAGTGTGAGCAGCGTGTGGTGAGGAATGAAGATGGGGGTAGAAAAGGTCTCTAGGAAGAATTCCTGACAGCAGCTCCTTTTAACAAAGCTACCACAGCCCAAGGGTGGAAAGCAGGCTTTTCAAGGGTAGCCATCTCTAGACAAGCCTCAGAGTGCAGGAGACCTAGCATTAACAAACTTGGGCTCAGTTCTCTCTGAAAATCCCTTTTTATACTACCAAACTCCAAATTATCCTTTAAAAAAAAATTTGTTTTAAAGGAATTGTTATGGGCTTGGTTTCCAGAGGACCAAAAGCCTGCAGAGTTAGTCGTGGTGGCTGTCACCAGCCCCGAGCTTCAGGGTGAGCTCTTTCATGGGGCAGACTGACACTTCAGGGTGAACCCTGTACTGCACATGAACCCACAAAGGAGGTGAGGGTGTGAGCTGGGATCCACCCGATGGGGCCTGGCCCAAGGGCTCTGCACCCCCTTCCCTGCTCATCTTGGGAAAGACAGGCTGTGTCCATTTCTCCTGCAGCTTAGTGGTCCCCACCATAAAGTATCCAAGCAAGAATAGTGTGAAAAATTAGCTAACACCACCCAGTGACCTCATACCTAAACAAACCTGCTTTTCCTGCCAAACTCAGATACTAAAGTTCCAAATAATTGCAAGTAAAATGTCTCAGCCAGCTTTAAAATTACCAACAGGCCGCTTTATAGAAATAACGGATGAAAGTGGTTCTAGCTATTCAGTGGTCGCTTTTCTTTTTCTTTTTTTTTTTTCCGGTACCGGGAATCGAACTCACGACCTCGTGCTTGCCGGGCAGGCACTGTGCCACTGAGCTAAATCCCCAGCCCCAGTGATCACTTTTCTGCTGTTCCTTTTTGATGGTCATGAAGAAAGGATCCACTAATTGATAGGAACCTCTGATCTTCCCAGTTACTGGAGATGAAGGGTAGAACTTTGGTGCTTTTCGAGGTTTAGAAAAGATGAAGTTTCTGGGTCCCTCTTCCTTTACCTTAAAAAAAATCAATGTAAAATATGTTCCAGGGACATATGCATGTTTACAAGGAGGCACTGATATGAACATATTCTAAAGAATTCTTTATAAAAGTTTAAAGCAGAGAGGAAGGTCCCAACTGGCAAGACTTATGGAGTGAAGATTACAAGCAGTGACATTTAAATGTGACAAGACCACACTAAGACTAGATATACAGGAGAGCAAGATGTAAGAAGAGCTTTCGGAGGACGGCTGGTGGGATGAACTTACAAAATTCACAAGCAGAAGGTGACAAGCTTCTGAAAAACACTTAGACTAGATCAATGAAAAAATTCTGATGAATCGGTCTCTTTAAATTACATGATGTATGGGTATTTTTGTAGAATGGAATGGGACCATTTTCTGTTAAAATAAAAATGGATTCACTATCATATGCACTTGAAAATATTTTTCTTACAAATGCTGTATCTCTCCTCAGTGACTGATGTGCCTATTTTAATTGTGGGTAAACTGGTCCAAATATTTCTACAAGTGGATTCCGTTAAGCTTCCAAGTAGGAGATGACTAACAAGGAGGCCACTGCAGTGCCTCCGGGCTGCACCCTTGCTCCCATTCCCGGGGAGGCTGAGCTGCTGAGACAAGCACACAGCAAGCGCACACTATCACCTCATTAATATCGACAGTCTGCATTTTTAAAATTATAAAACTATTTTTGGTTACAAATTCAAGTAATGCACTCTTCCCCACTACAAGCAGCCGGCTCCTTTCCTGAGTGGGCTTCTGTAGATGTGTTCTCCCCTCCCTTCCCAAACACACACTCCATGCATGCTCTGCCGGTAAAGTACCACATTTAAAATATGGTGGGTAAAATGGCATTAAGTCTTTGACTGGCTTCCACCATAAAAATGTACACACACACACACACACACACACACACACACACACACACACATACACACCAAAAGGAGGCTCTAGTGTGGGAGTTGGTGGTCTCTCAGTGGTCCCCGGGAAAAACCAGCAAGAGGATTTAGAAAATAAAGACAAGAGACACTAGCCAGGGTCAGGTGGAGTTACCTCTTGCCTGATGAGCACGAGGACTCACTTCAACAGTAGGGGAGTTTATTTCATACACTTGCAAAGTAGTATCATGAGAGATAATGTTGCCTAGCGACTAAAACTAAGACTAAGACTGTAATTGTCCAAGCAGGATACTTTTTTCAATACTGATGTAGCTTGACTGCCTGAGGCACTCTGGCTCTGTCCCACCCGCACAGACATGATCAACAACCAACTCCAACGGCTCCCAACACTCTAGGAGACACAAACTGTCGTTAAGCAGCTATTCCATTCCTAAGGGGGCTTGAAGAAATAAGCAGCTGTAATCCCAGATTCTGAAGGCTGAGGCAGAAGAATTGCCACGAATTCTTTCCATCTCTTCCTAGGCCACAAATGAAACCTACATCTCCAAACACAGCAAGGGAGGAAGCCAAAATGCCAGATGAGGACCAGCTTTCTCAGGGGCAGCGTGAGCAGCGTGTGGCCAGGAATGAGGATGGGGGTAGAAAAGGCCTCTGGGAAAAATTCCTGACAGCCGCTTCATTTCACAATGCTGCCACAGCCCACAAACTACAGACTATGGGCTACATAGTGAGGTCAAGACCAGCCTGGACTACCCAGTGAGACCCTGTCTCAAAAAAATTTTTTTAAAGAGAGAGACAAAGTAGACAAGTGAATAGATACATGAACAAAAGCTGTGCATTTCAGCGTGTTTACATCATCTAGTAAAATAAACTAGGCAGCATCCATATGAGGAGATCTAGGTGGTCATTAAAAATAGACACGTTATACACCTATTGCTATGGGAACAACGTTTAAAGTACACAGCTAAGTGGACAAGAGGGTCCAGGCAGCATTCCACTAGGCAGTGTAGGCCCATGCAAACATGTACCAAGAAGGGGAGGTATCAAAACATCAGTGTCAGAGAGCACTACTTGATTTTTCATTTTCTTCCTAATCTCACTAGAGTGTTTGAACTTCCTACAGTTGACATTTTTATTGTATATATTAATGTATAAAATGTATGTTTTGATATACATACACAGAATGAGATGATTATTAAAGTCAAGACAAATACATAGCGATCCTCACAGTTAATACATATGTGTGCGTGTATGTGTGTTAATAGCACCTAAAAGCTATTCTTTTAACAAGTTTCTAGCATATAAAATAGTATTAACTATAGTTTTCAGGCTGTATGTTAGATCTCTGGACTTATCCTATAGAACTGCAAGCAGTACATGCAGTACTTTTATATTAGAAAAAACAAAATTATTTGGAAAAAGTTCTCCTGAAAATTTTGCATATTAAACACATAAACTTGACAAGCAAAGAAACACAAAGAAAATCTCACCTGGAATTTAGGTCTGTACAGATAGGTAGACTATGGTGGGGTTAATAATGTCCCTTAGAGTGCCAGGGATATAGCTCAGCAGTACAAGTGCCTGCCTGGAAAGCACAAGGTCCTAAGTTCAACTCTAGGTACCAAAAAATAATAATAATAATAATAATAATAATAATAATAATAATATCCCTTAGTTATTGCAGGTTGATCAGGTCCACAATCTCCTGAATGAGTGTACAATGAAGGCTAAAGCAAATGGAATGATTTCAGGGCTCCAGGAGGATCAAAGCCCTCTCACATAATTCATAATTCTCTCAGGGCTAAGACCACGACCTTCTCTGGGTCAGCCATATTTATTTGGTTATCAGCAGCAGGGAGGGGAGCACTCAAGAAGGGCAGAACCATTCAAGGATTTCTCTAAGTAAGGTCTGAAGTTAATCCATTGAAGAATGAGATGCCTGAGGCTATAATCTTCATCTAGTTGAGATCTGACCCAGGTATCCTTGGCCATGATCTTGTCTTGTCCTTTGAGGCTCTCTGGCTTCATCCACTACAGGTTCTAGTAGGGATTAGTGACTCACAGAGGTTCACTTACTATGAGTCCACCATTTCCAGATAAGGAGCCTAGGCCTTGGACAGATTCACAAGTGAACATGGAGAGCCAATTGGTTAATATTAAATCCTGCTCAGAGCCACGTTACAGTGGTCTCCAGCAGACTGTATTAGGAGTTCCTGAGGAAGCTCTCAACCCCCTACTTGGGGTTCTGCTTTGGGAATTGGTTCTTCTGGATCTCAGACAGTCCTTTCATTGTGGAAGGGAAAAGATCTCCTCAATGGAGTTCACCGCAGCCCAGATGTTGCCAATGTGTCCACATGCTTCCTGTGTAACGATAATGTATCTCCTTTAAAAATACAATCGCTACTCACAATTCTTGTCCTCCCATTCTTGTCCTGCCAGAAAATGGTTCCCCTTTATTGAACAAAGCAGAGTACACCAGTTGAGTCCCAGAGAAACCGGAGTTCCTGGGAGCTGTGCATTAAAATTTGAGAAGCTAAAACCCTCTCTCTGCTTCTCATCCCCCCACAGAAAGACTGGAATGGGAAAAGCCAGGAGAAAGTAAACAAAATTGAGAATGGCTAGGAGGAGGCAGTAGGCTGAGAAGAATCAGGATTCTTTTCTCCAGAAAGATGGAAGCAAACAGGACAGGAATTTTTCTGTTTTACTGGTTGCTGTAGCCTCAACATCTAGAATACGTACCTGACACACAGCAGGGAGCCAACGCATTGTGGAATGAATGAACTATACAGACCAAAGGAAGAACATGAACTGCTGTTCAAAGTCAAAGACTGTCACAAGCAAATGCTGAGATGGGGACAAACATTTTAAGTTTAAATGACAGAAGATAGGACAAATAAATGGCTCCTCTCCCAAATGGTTATTTGAAGGAACACAGAATCTTTTTGATGTTTTACATAGGCCGGGTATGCTTGTACATGCCTATAATCTCAGCACTCTGAAAGGCTGAGGCAGGAGGATCACAAATTCAAGTCCAGCCTCAGCAAATTAGTGATGGAGAGAGACCTTGTCTCAAAAGAAAAACAGGCTGGGGATGTCGCTCAGCAAAGGCCTCTCGTTCAGTCCTTGGAGTGGGGCGAGGCGAGGGGCTGAGGACAACAGAAATGCTTAAGTTGGAATCTTCAAGAGTAACATGCAGGGGCTGGGGATTTAGCTCAGCGGCACAGAGCCTGCCTGGCAAGTGCAAGGTCGTGAGTTCGATTCCCGGTACTGGGGGAAAAAAAAAACAAAAACAAACAAAAAAGAATAACACGCATTTTAAGATGTCTAAGAATGAACATCAAGAGCTATGTAGATGGAGGCCATGCTAAGCCACATCAGCCCAGGATGATCTCTAGAAATAGGCTAATAAAATAAGTTGGCTTTCTCTTATGTGTACAGGATGCTTTGAACTAATATATAATGTTGAGTTGGGTGAACCTATGACACAACTTTAGAACCAAAAATGTGAAGCTGGCTGTGTGCTCTGGTGGAGACCAGTTCCAATAGCCCCCACCCATGGGTAACCTCTATCCAGAACATATGTCCCCTTACCTCTCATAAAAGTAACTTTAAAACTGTGGCTAAATCTTAAACATTTTTAAGTGTGTCATTCAGTAAACTACATTCACGTTGGGGTTTCACAAATCCCCAGGATGCTTTTTATTTCCAGGAAACTGCAACTCCTCGGTCCCCTCTCTTAGTGCCTGGCAACCACGACTGCACTTTCTGTCTCTAGAGATCTGACAACTTTAGCAGACTTACATAAGTGGAATCTTATTTTTTTGTCCTTTCTGTGACAGGCTTATTCCAGTGAGCATACTGTACTCAAGGTTTATCCAAGATTATCATCCTGTAAGGCTGTGAAGTATTTTATTCTGTATACATGGCAATGTGGTTCATCCATTTATCAGTCAACAGACTCGGAGTCACTCCCCCACCTTTTGGCTGTTGTGAATAATACTGCTGCAAACGTGGGTATACAAAGGTTTCTCCAAAACTCTGCTTTCAATTTTTGCAGATATAAATCCAGAAGTGGAACTGCTGGATCATATGGTAACTCTATGCTTAATTTTTTTGAGGAACTGCTGTGTTATATTCTATGGCAGCTGCACTATTTTCTATTCCCATGTTCAGGACAAGAATGCTCCATTTTTTCCACATCCTCACCAACCCTTATTTTGTCTTTTATTTTTTATTTTTTGGTTTTTTTCCGGTACCAGAAATCAAATTCACGATCTTGCGCTTGCCAGGCAGGCACTGTGCTGCTGAGCTAAATCTCCAGCCCCTTATTTTGTCTTTTGATAGTAGCCATCCTGAGATGTGAGGTGATTTCTCACTATGTCTTGGTTTGCATTTTCCTAGTGATTAGTGATGTTGTGCATCTTTCTGTGTGCTTATTGGCCATTTGTGTATCTCCTTTTGAAACGTCTATTTAAATCGTGTATGGTGATGAACATACTGGGGATTCTAGGGCCTTGTACATTCTAGACAGGTGCTCTCCCGCTGAGCTACATCTCTGGTCCTTTTTAAATTTTGGGGCTGAGTCTCACTATGTTGCCCAGCCTGGGCTCTAACTTCCAATCTTTCTGCCTCTGCCTTCTAAGTAGCTGAGATTACAGGTCTGCACTACCACTGCAGCTTGTCCATTTTTTAAAAATGGGGTTGTGAAATGTAAGAATTATTTAGATATTCTATTAGCCCCTCCTAGGCTGTATGATTTGCAAACATTTTCTCCTATTCTGTAGGTCACTTCTTCACTCAGTCGATTGTGCCCTTTGATGCAGTTTTTAATTCTGAAGAAGTCCAGTTTATCTAATGTTTCCTGTTGCCTGTGCTTTTGGGGTCATATCCATGAAATTACTGCCCAATCCAATGCCATGCATTTTCTTCTAACAGTTTTATGGTTTTAGCTTTTATGTTTAGGTCTTTGATCCATTTTTAGTTAATCTTCTATGTATGGTACAAAATCCAACTTCATTCTTGTACATATGGAGATCATTTTCCCAGCACCATTTGTGAACAAGTCTGTCCTTTCCTCATTGAATTGTCTTGGCACCCATGTAAAAAAGTTTGACTGTATACGTGTGTGGGTGTGTGTGGATTTACTTCCGTGGTATTACAGTTTGGGTTTTTTTAGGGGGCGGGGTGTTTTGCAGGGCTGGGGTTCAGACCCAGGGTCTCATGAATACTAGGTAAGAACCCTACCACTGAGCTATATCCTCAACTCTCAGCTTTAGAAAGAAAAATGTACTAACTCAACTTCATACTTTATTCAGATTTCACCAGTTTTACCACTAACGTCCCTTTTCTGTTATAGAACCCAACCCATTTAATCATGTCTCCTCAGCCTCTTTTTGTCTTGACAATTTCTCAGTATTTTCTTTTCATGACCTTAACAGTTCTTAATGTTGGCTAAGTATCTTGCAGACTGTCCTTGATTTGAGTTTGCCTGATCTTTCCCACGAGTGAACTCATTAGAGGTATTTGGAAAGAATACCAGAGCTGAAGTGCCCCCTTTTATCACGTGTTATCAGAAGGGCTGTGGCTACACTGATGTTAACCATGACCACTCGGCTAAGCTGATGCTCGCTGTTTCTCCAGGGTAAGGTTGTCTTTTCCAGCTTCCCGGGCTCTGTTCACTGCAGTCACTAAGTCCAGCCCCCCAACAAAGGGGGAGGGGCTTGCCCCACCTCCTGGAGCACGAAGTATCTACATGTATCATTTGGAATTCTGGAAGGCAGATTGTCTTTTTCCTTCCCTTGTTGTTGTAGAAACTATTTTAAACTCATCTGTAGGCATGGTAGAAATTACTTAGTTTTGCTTATTTTTAAAAGTTTCCTCTCAACACAAGTTATTTACAGCATTCTGTTATTAAGAGCAATGCTGCTATGAACAATCTTGCACATGTTTCTGGGCTCACATGCAAGTTTCATTAGGAAATATTCCAAAGAGTAAAAATGCTAGGTTGCAGAACTCGTCTTGTATTTAAATGTACAAGATAATGTCGGGCCGTTTTCTGAAGTGCTTGAACCAATTCATATTCTCATTCATCTAAAAGTTCCTATTGTTCCACATCTTCACCAATACTTGGAATTCTCAGTCTTAATTTTTGCACGTCTTGTAAGTATAAAATAATATCTCCTTGTAATTTTATTTTCTGATTGCTACTGAGCATCTTAGTGGACATTTACTCACCATTTATACATCATTTTCTAAAACGTCAGAATCTTTTACCCATTTTTTTCTACTGTATTGTTATTATTCCTGCTCTGTAGGAATTCGTTCTATATTCTAGCGCCTTTGTAAGCTGTATCTATGTAAGTATCGTTGTCCTCCATTGCTTACTGCTCTACCACTTTGTATCACCTGAAGAATGAAAGTTCTTATTTTAATATTGGTAAATGTATAGACCTTTTCTTTTGATTAGCACTTTAAACAAATGTGTTCTTTAAGAAATTCTCCTCTCCTCAACCCAAGGACACAGGAGCATTTTGTCATAAATTTTAAAAAGTTTTCATTTTACATATTTTATTTAATCTAGAATTTATTTTTGTGATATGTAACTATAATGGCTTTCAGCATTTAAAATTCACACTGTTTAAATTACCAAGGAAATCACAAGCGAAGGACCCTGGAATTCAGATACTCTTTTTTGTTTGTTTGTTCTTTTTTTTTTTTTTTTTTTTGATGTTGGGGACTGAACACAAGGCCTCATACATTCTAGGCAAGTGCCCTATCACTGAGCTGCCCTACCCTCTTATTTTGTTTTGTTTTGTTTTGTTCTGTTCTGTTTTGTTTCTTGAGACATGGACTTACTATGAAGCCCAGGCTACCCTGAAGCTCACCTCCTGCCTCAGCCTCCTGAGTGCTGGGATTACCAGTGTGCACCACCACATCCAGCCTTTTTTTTTTTTCCTTTTTAAAGACAGGATCTCACTAAATTGACTAGCTGCCCTTGAGCTTGCAATCATCCTCCCTCCACCTGCCATGGAGCTGAGATTATAGGCAGGCACCACTGTGGTGGTTTCAAATATATATGTTCACACAAATGGTCACAATCGACCGTTTTACTTCTTCAAAATACCAGCATACCTGTTATTTAGTATAGTGTAGTTGTCAAAAATCTGAGAGGGTTTAGAGCAGTTGATCCAAAGAAAAAGCTTATTTTATACTTCATTTAAGTCCTGGCAAACAGAAGCGACTCTAAATAACGAAATAAATGTACTCAATCAAAGCAAAGGGGGGTGGGTGTTATTCTAAAGCAAGACACTCCTACTCCTAGCAGCTTCATGACTGACTGAAATAGCTAGAAGTCACAAATACGTAGTTAAAGAGAAACTCTCCCCCTAAACCAAGAGAAATACCTTCTCCCCCTTATAAAAAAATAAGGCAAGCAGTACTCCAATAGTTCTTTACTTTATTAAGGTTGACTTACAGGGTCTTTGTATATCTAAATATTTAAGTTTTTAAAGATATTTAGATAGATTTATTTTTCCATAATTAGTTAATTTAGGCACATTGGTTTTTATTTTAGAGAAAATACTTACTTTTAGGACACAAATAAGAACAAATATAATTTGCAAATATTACAAAGATGACTTCAGATCTGTCTTTCCTAAAATGCAAACCATTCATTTAGTCTTTGATGACAACAGAGATCAAAAGCAACTGCTTAAATCTATCTGTATGATATTCTTACAACTCAGAAACCCCTGAAAGAACAGTAAGCTGTGGTTATTGGAAAGCTGAGAATACCGGAAAGGCTTAGTTGCAAAGTATTTAACAGAAGGCCACAAATGTTTTCCTAAAAGGAGCTAGAACGACAGGCATTGTTTAGAAATGCATTGAAATGGCATTGCCCAGTGCGAGTACTGCACAGAAACCTGGTCACCTCCTCCGGACTGATCACTTTGGGTAGGTTTCCACTATCATTCCATGGCCCTGTGAAGGGAAAAAGAAAAGCTCAATTAGAGCAATGAAAGGTGATGAATTTATCCAGCATGGAGAACAGCGGTAAAGTACAGGCTCTGAAGTTTGATCTTGGCTCTGCCATTCAAACATTGTGTGATCGTGGGAAAGTTAGTGATCCTCAATTTCCTCTATAATGAGATCTATGGGGCCTACTTCAGGAAGTTTTCGAGAGCATCACAGAGCAGTGTACACACACACATATTTATCCACACATATATATACGCACAGATACATATATGTACCCGACTTTCTAGTACAGAGTCTCACTCTGAGTAGATAACTGTAAATCGTTGTTTTGGGTATACGTGTGCTCATGGCACTGGGAATAAAACCGAGGTCCTTGCACATGCTAGGCAAGTGCTCTACCGTGCAGCTATACCCCAGACCAAAGCTAGCTATTAAATGAGGAATCAGAGGGGCCCTTTTAGCCATATAAGGATAAACATGACATAGTGAATGCCAACAAAAGTACATCTCTAGATGATAAAACTGAGGCTTCAAGAGGTTAAGTGACTCATCCAAAATCACAAAGCTAGCAAAAACAAAAATCACAAGGCCAGGATTTGAAAGCCTGTTCAGCTGATTCCAAAGCTGTTCACTTCTTCACCATTTTACACAGATTAAGGAGATGACCTGAGGGGCCACAAAGTGAAGCAGCACCAATATTCCTTCTCCATCACTGTGCACATGCTATGCATCAGGTACAGCCCTTCTTTAAACCTAGCAGAGACATTTATGATTTCATAAGTCTAAATCCTAGCTGACTGTCACGTCATTCTAACCACTGGTCTGCCATCAAGCCAATAAATAGCCTAATGAATCTCCTGGCTTCTAGGTTCAATTTAATTTTCACAACTATTTATTATGAAACAATTATTTATCAGGTACCAAGCTGAACACTGTGAGGTTAAAGATTTGCTATATGGCCTCCATCCTCCTTCTAGTGTACATAGAGGCTCAAAATGAAGCCTTTTGACAACATACAAGCAAACAAGAAAGATCAGGGATGGGAAGATTTGACTGACTTGGAATTGTCTTGGAAGGACCCATAGCAAGGTAGAACACTCCTTCTTCAGCTTTACTTAAAATGCACTGTTTTCAAGTCCCTCTGTGACCATTCTCAACGTCATTTTATCCTCTGCGGAGAATACTAGCAATGTCTGCAGATATTTTTGTTTCAGCTGTGTGTGGTATGTGGACAGGCTAGGACAGGACTGGGGAGGAGTTTGTTGCTACTGGAATCGAGTAGGTAGAGGCCATGCTAAGCCTCCCCTCAACTACAGTGCCCCCACTACAAAGAACTACCTGGCCTAAAATGTCAGCGCCAGTACTGAGAAGTTCTGCTGTAGTTGCACCGTGATGAATTCTTTTTCTACCTCCTAATTAGGTTGGTGTCAGTGGTTCGGCTCTTGAGGAGACAGCGTCAAGTTTAACCTCACTTCTAAGATGCATCATCTCCACATTCCTCACTATACTATGAGCTCCTAGAAAGGAGACACTGAGCATCAATCTTGTTCATCCACAAAAGCATCTAGTGTAGTTTATGCCGCAGATACCAGATAAAGAATCAGGGAACAGATGCCAAATGCAAAGGACAGCGCCCCCTGTGGGCCACACACCATGCACAGCACTATGTGGGAGCTGCCACCCTCCCGGCACAGGGAGATGAGATGAGGGGCTCAGGTCCTAAATGACCAGGGTTTCTGTGGAAGAAGTTACACAGATTAAAAACTGATCATGAAGTACAAAATGTTCCAACTTCTAAAAATAACTGGTCCCTTACTTCCCAAGTATCTGAGGAAGAGCCATATATGAAGACTTCAAAATGTAAATGTCAGGCTTGATTCGGGCATGACTTTCCCAGCATCCAACCTGTTTTTTAGCAGCCACAAATTTTCTCAGCCAAAACTATAACCCCAGCAGGAGTGCTACCCTCAGCAAACACAGAACAGGATGTCAAAAAGAAGAGATCAGACAGAACATAAAATCTTCTAAGCACCAGGACATCTGAAAACATCTGTATGTTTATACCACATACTTTGAGGACTTTGACCACTGAGGCACCAGACATTCAGAGAACCTAGATCATGGATGCTTGCTCAGATCTCCTCACCTGAAGCCCCTTACTCCCTCACCAGATATCTCACCTGACCTCCCCACTTGACCCCCTTTGTCCACCTATAAAAAGGTGCTATTCTCTGTACCACACACATGGCCTTTTCGCCATCTATCTGTCCGCATCCAGACACAATAAATTTCACACCATGTTGCCTTTTATAAAAGCCTGGTGGTCTCTCTGCTGGTCTCTGACTCATGTTGTTCCTTACAGTAACATGTCTATACTTTTAAATATCATTTATTTTTTTTGATCAGTAACAGAGAGTTCCTATAATCCAGATAAAAACAAAATCTATTCACATCAAGATTTTTAAAAAAAGAAAAAAACCAAACTAGAGTCAGTCTTCCTTTTGGATTTTATCTCCAGAGTGAAATGCTATAGCAGGTAGGAAGTTAGGTCTAAATGTAAGCAAGGTAAGTAGGGAAAAAGCTCTGTTGGACTAATAATTTCCTTAGCGGAACAGAAAAAAGTTATCTAGAGGTAAATTAGTTCCCTAATGAGGGTATAATTCAGCTCTTTAGCGAGACAGTTTACCTCTTGGAGAGATTTTGTAGATAGGATTTCATGCTGAATAGATAAATGCATACATTTATCACTAAGGAAGAAGATACATCATGATGTTTAACATGATGACTCCCAGTAAGGAGATATATAAGTGATTCCAATTGCTTTCCATATATTCTTTCTATTTCCCATAATGGCCATATATTCATTTTATACATCAAAAAGGTAACACTACTTTAGGGGAAAAAATATCTTGGATTTAAATAACATCTTCCTATTGCCAGAATTAAAGTTGTTCCTCCTCCTCCTCCCCTAACCTTCACCAAAAAAACAAAAACAACAACAAAAAAAAACTGCTTTTTTTTCTTGGTTGCCTGTCTTTAGAATATTGCTTCAAGAATGTTTCAAACTAAACTAAATCAAAACTTTTTGAGACGAACTTATTTTGCTTCCAAGAAAGTGACTTTCTGGAAGCTCCTGTGAAGCTGCCCCACACGTACCTGCCCTCCAGCTGCACAGGCGGCCACCAAGGCATACTGGCCTCCTTCCTTCCGCAACCTGTTGGCAGCTGTGATGACCAAGCGGCAGCCAGTAGCTCCAAATGGGTGCCCCAGGGACAGCGATCCACCCCAGGTATTAAACTTCTCTAAAGGAAGTGATCCAACCTGGATCCCACAAAGATACAGATACAGTGTAAAGGCATGTTTACTCAAAGATGGGATACAAGCCATGCTCTTAGTAACAAGGAGGAACAGAAATAACTAATGTTAGACCTATCACAAATAATTTTACTGCAAAAGAAAGTAAGTCTAGGTCAGTATAAAAAGACAAGCATTGATTTACTTTTTACTTAATGCCTACATGAGATGAACAAAGGTAACATAAAATCCTATTATTTTTGCAAAAGATTTCCTAGAAACTATTTTTAAACTAAGACACAAATATAGCACACTGAATAAAATATACAATTTTTTATAAGAGGAAGCTTTCCTTTCATATTCTTCTTAGAGGGCAACTAAGCTCCAAATATTAATGTGCCTTGGACAATCAAACACTTTTTAATCAGAAACTTACCTTGGTTTTCCTACCCATGTAGTTTTGCGCAAACCAATCAGAATCCAAGGCTTTAAAATTAGCCAAAATCTGACCCTAGGGGAGAAAAAATATATAAACAACTTTGTTAATAATGTTTCTCTAAACTCCTTTAGGCATAGGTTTCTGTAACTTTCAAGTCAGGCAAATCTTTAAGTCAATTCCTAGTGAAAAAATCCCAAAGAAACAATTTTATACTTCCAAGGGCCTCTAGGAGCCTCAAAAGGTAGTTCTCAACCCCATAGGTGTGGCTCTCAACTCTCTCCTGATCCCCTCCCCACGTCAGTCAGTACTAAACTACCAAGGCACGCTCCTGTTGAACTTATAATATAAACCAAGCCTTGCTCTCTCCCATAAACAAAGACTTAATGACTATAGTTCCTCCAGGTGTGTTTTTCAAATGACTTACCGCGAAGGCTTCATGAAATTCAAAAACATCAATATCATTCATGGTTAATCCTGCCTTTTCTAGGACTTTTGGAGTAGCATATGTTGGTCTGAAAAGAAAAAGAGGAGAATCTTAAAATTTTAATTTTTAATCTAAGAGCTTCTTCACATTCCCTAAACTGAGTTCTACATCTATTGATGCTACTGTACAAATACTGATTAAGGCTGGGGATATAATAATGAACTGAATTTTGTCCTTGTTAAGTTTATGTTGTAGAGTTGAGGAGACAGGTACTAAGCAAATAATGAAGGAAAAAACTAAGTTAACAATGTAAAGTTAGAAGAAGAATGAAAGTAAAAGGGCAAGGTATGCAAAAGGGCTTAGCTAATCTCAAGATCATAACAGACAAAGAAACAAAGAAAAAACAGTATCAGAAGGAAGCCAGTGAGGCTCCTACCTTGTGAGGGAGGAAGAGATAATCTAAGTATTAGGAGGCTTTTATGAAACAAGAGATATTTATGTTTGTGTATATTTATATAACAAAAAACGTTTTTTTAAAATGAAAATTATTTTGGGATTCAACCCAGAATCTTTACACTAAGCTAAATTCTCAGCCCTTTTTTTTGTATCTTAAGACAAGGTTTTCCTAAGTCACTAGGTTGCCCAACCTGGGCTCAAATTTGTAATCTTCCTGCCTCAGCTTCCCAGAGTGTTGAGATTAAGGCATGTGCAACCATAGCTAGCTTGTATTACCAATTTTAAGCAGAAAATATACAGGAAAAAATGGAAAATAACTCAAAACTGTAAAATGATTATACCAAAAAGTATTATTATTATTATTATTATTATTTGCTTTAAAATCCACCTCTCAGGGGTCAGGGATATAGCTCAGTAACATAAGTGACTGCCTGGCAAGTGCAAGGTCCTGAGTTTAATTTCCAGTAACAAAAAAAAAAAAAAAAATTTAAAAATAAATAAAATAAAATAAAATAAAATAAAATAAAATAAAATCCACCTCCCAAGCCAATTATGAACTCAGAGCTTAAGGCACTTCAAAATCTGTAATAAATGTTAGTAATGAAATATTTTTGATTAAACTCCAGAAATACACACTACTACTTACCCCAGTAAAAGCTGATCTTTTGGATCCTGGGACACATACACAAAATCCCTACGTAAAAAACATAGAGGTTAGCTCCAGTAATAAAATATTCAGCGATAATCCACATGAAAATTTACTTACCTCAAATATGCCTTTGGCTTATATCCCATGGCCAGAGCTTTGTCCTCAGACATAATCAGCATCGCAGAAGCGCCATCAGTCTGAAATGTCAACCGGAAGAGTAACAGTGAATTCTCTGGCCTGCCTGAGGTTCCTCTGCAGCCTTTTCTAAGTTTTGCCCCTGGTTGTATTAACTCATCACAAACTTCGTTGTATCTATCATTAAATCACAATTCAAACACAAGGACTGACCAGTTTTAGAGCACAAAAGAAGAAGCCTGTTCAAAGAGTATCCTAATCATCAAAATGAATAAAAAGAACTTTAGAAATGCAAGTATCCATAAAAAACTCAGCCAAAGTTTTTTGTTTTGGGCACAGAAAAGGAAGAAGTTTATGAATTAAAACAACTTATTTATTCAACTTATTTTTTATATTTTCTGTGCTACTTCTCAGCTACTTCCTACCCACAGCTTCTGGGTAGTTTCTTTCTATGCAAAGTATCTGTAATAAGCCAACTAATGGAAGAAGAATGAGGTGGGCAGGTAAGAACATTAGTACCACTGATTTCCCTCTCTGTACATACACCATACATTTTTTGTCCCAAACAACAATCAAGAGAAATCAGGGGACAAAGAGGTGATCACTCAGGGAAAAAGTCCTTTACTACTGTTAAAAAAAAAAAGAGCTCCTACCAAAATCCACAATTCCAAGGAAAAGGAAACTACTCTGTATAGTCTGAAAAAAAAAAAGAAAAAAAAGGTCACATTCTACTCTGTTGTACAACTGAGCAACACTGAAGGCAGCGTGTAGGCTCCAATAAGGTGGCCAGAAAATCTGGAAACACAGGTGATGACGCTTAACATATGGTTTATAGAGATTAAATACGTTCAGTGTGCCCTTGTGCAAAGTTGCAGTGAATGTGGTACATTAATGTAGTTCCAAAAATCCATGGCTCTGTGATGTGTTGCCTCTGATGGTGTCTGTGTTTGATTTTCATTGAATAAACCTGGACCTGTGGCACACCACAGAAGTAATCCAGACCATTCAGATCTGGTGAGTATAGCCCCTGCTGCCTGGCCCTATTATCTACTTTGGCTTTGGAAATGAGCATCAACCCAGATCCTTCACTACTCAGGCTTAATGAGGTGATGCTAATACTGGTGGAACTGTGCCAGGTAACACAACTATAGCCATATGACTCTTGACAAATGTTACGGCTTGTGTCCAGAAGTCCCTCCAAAGCCTCATGTGGTTATAGGTGGGGCTTTTTCAGAGGTGGCTGGATCTAGGGTGTGTGATGCTGGGGTTAAGGGTATGTGATTACTAAATCAGTCCACTGACTGGCTTGAATAGTTCTCAGTGTGAGTGCTACACACTCTACGGGCAGAAGGCAGGTAGCCTAGATAGAATATAAAAGGGACAGAAGAAAGCTGCTGTTGTTGCTTGCTTGCTTTGCCACCTTCTGCCTGCCATGGACTGTTTCTCCTCTGTGATCCCTGTCTGCCATTCCCCTTTGCCTTGGAGCCAGCCAACTATGAACTGAAACCTCTATAAACTGTGAGCTAAATAAACCTTTTCTCCTTTAACTCTGGGTGTTGGGTATTTTGTCTCAGCAACAAGAAAAGTAACTAAGTCAACAAAGGAGACAAAAACATACATCGGAGGAAAGACAGCCTCTGGGGAAATTGGACATCCCTATGTAAAAAAATGAAATTAGATCCCTATTTTTCACCCTGTACAAAAATCAATTCAAAATGGACCAAAGACCTAGGAATAAGACCTAAAGCTTTGAAAACTGCTAGAAAAAAACAAAGGGAAAACACTTGAAACCGGAGGCACAGGCAAAAACTTCCTGAATTAGACTCCAAAAGCACAGGAAATAACAGTAAGAATCAACAAACTACCTTAAATTAAAAAGCTTCTGCACAATAAGGGAAACAACCAACAGACTGAAGAGCCAGCCTACAGAATCAGAGAAAGTCTTTGCAGTTATCATCTGACATCTGTCTAGAATATATAAAGAACTCAAAAAACACCAAAAACTGAAACAGCCCAATCAATAAATGGGCAAATAAATTGAATAGATACTTCTCAAAAGAAATACAAAGATAAGTATATGAAGTACAGTAAGCATATGAAAATATGTTCAATATCTTTAGGCATTAGGGAAATACAACTCAAAAGCACATTGAAAGCCTGGCATGGAGGCACACAGCTGTAATTGCAGCACTCTGGGAGTCTGAGGCAGAAGGATTCCAAGTTCAAGCTCAGCCTGAGCAATCTAGGGACTGAGCAAGAAGACCCTGTCTCAAAAAATAAAAAAGGGGGGCTGGGGATTTAGCTCAGCGGCAAAGCGCCTGCCTGGCAAGCGCAAGGTCGTGATTTCGGTTCCCGGTACCGGAGAAAAACCAAAAAAAAATAAAAAATAAAAAAATTTAAAAAAATAAAAAAGGGCTGGGATGTAGCTCAGTGTGAAAGCCCTGGGTTCAATTCCCAGTACTAGAAAAAATAAATAAATAAATAAAGATTCCATCTCATCTCAGTCAGAATAGCTATCATCAAGAATACAGAAAACAATAAATGCTGGTAAGGATGCAGGGAAAAAGAAGCCCTCCACAGCTGCTGGGAATGTAAATAGTACAGTCACAACAGAAATCAGTATGGAGGTTCCTTTAAAAAACTAAAACTAGAATGACCATTTGAGTCAGCTATACCACTCCTTGACATATATCCAAAGAAATTAAAGTCAGCATGCTCTGGGGATACCTGCTTACCCATGCTTATTGCAGTAATAATTCACAACAGCTAAGATGTAGAACCAGCCCAGGTGCCCATCAACAGATGAGTGGATAAAGAAATTGTGGTATATACACAAAATAGATATTCAGCCATAAAGAAGAAATTATGTCATTTGCAGGAAAATGGATGGTACTGAAGATAATCGTAAGTGAAATAAGTCAGACTCAAAGACAGATATTGCATATTTTCTCTAATATGTGGAATCTTAAAAGGATGACATGAATATAGAAGGGAGACTATTACTTGCTAAGAGGAAGCAAAAAAAGGGGTGGTGGTGTAAAGGCAGGTAATGAGGGAACAAAAAAGTTATTAATTACATCATTAACAGATCATGATGTCAGCCGGGCATGGTGGCGCAAGCCTGCATTCAGGAGGCTGAAGCAGGATTGTTGCAAGTTTGAAACCAGCCTGGGCTACAAAGTGAGCTCAAGGCCAGCCTGAACTGCACAGTGAGACTCTGTCTCAAAAAGACATAAAAAAAAAAAAAGAGAGAGGTCATGATGTCAATATGAATTTATTGAAGTGAGAAGGTATCCACAAAACCCCCAAAATGAAATAGTGGGTTACAAAACAGTATGCATGGTATTACCAACTTTTTATTTCAAAACTATATTAATGTATAGAGACATCAAGAAATCATTGAGAATAGTGTTCACTTAACTGTTTTAATCTGTCTCTGGGAGTGAGATACTGAACACATTTTTCTTTTGCTTAAGAATATTTTTTGACTTGTGATATTATAAAGTATTTCTAGGCAGAGTAAATAAAGAATTCCTTTAAGTATGAGAGATGATAGGTAAGTTAATTAGCTTGATTGTATAATCATTTCACAATATATAGGTATCTCAAAACATGTTGTATACCTTAAATACATACGATTCTGTCAACTATGCTCAATTAAAAAAAGAAAAAACTATGATTTTGCTTCAAAATAAAGATTCTATTTTAATATCAGCTTCAAATTGAATAAATTTATCTTTAGCCTTTTCAAATATACACACATAGACCTATTTTAGGCTTTTATATTGAGTGTATAGAAATAGTCATTACTAAACACCACGAACATGAGCATTACCAGGAAAGAAGAATTTGCAGCTGTCACTGTGCCATAGGGCTTGATGAACGCAGGTTTTAGTTTGGCCATCTGCTCCAGCGAGGAAGGACGGACACCATTATCTTTGCTAACCGTATCCTTTCCTATAAAAACAGGAACATTTTCACTCTAAGGAACTATAAGCGTTATATATCTTCTCCAGAGAAACACACTTTAAAAATCACAAGAAAAATGTTTACCTGCGTTACAACTTAAATCAAAACTGGAGTCCCTGTTTAAGGATATAGACTATTTTGGAGACAAAATCAACATACAAAAAAGTCATGCATGTAAGATTTTTAGAATTTTAGGAGCTACCAGAGCAATTCTGAACTCCCTAGCAAAGATCATAAAGCACTCCATTTTACCTGGAACCTTGAAGGGGACAACATCAGAAAGGAGTCCTTCGTCCTGGGCCTTCTTGGCCAGACTGTGAGAACGCAGCGCATATTCATCCTGCTCCTGCCGAGAAACTGCAAAGGAAGCAGCCATTCGGTCTGCAGCGTGGCCCATGGTCTCACTGGTGGAGAACTCGGCCACCGCAGGGAGCTGTGAGGGAGATACAGAAGAGCAGGTAAGCTATTAAGAGGTGCCGTATAACACCTAGGACTGTTTGGTGCTATCTGGAAAAGTTAAAATCTATTTATTCACCATCTATCAATCAAGAATAAGACAAAGGAAGCTCTTTGTGAACAAAGCATTGCCAAAAGAGTTCAAATATTCAAAATTTCTAACCCCTTTTTTTTTTCCATCTTGACCAAATAATTACCTTCACTGTAACCAAGAGAATCTACAAGTATAAGAGCATGCCTGATAGATTTAATTAAAATCTCTGGGCCTTCATTTACATAAATTCATAAGCCTTACCTCAGGTGACAGGAAATTCAGTCTGAATTTAGAGAGCAAAGACAGTCTCTGGCCCAGAGTCTTGGCTTTATTGAGATCAAGCATCATCTTCCTCATCTTCCTTGAGTGACGAATAGGAACATCGGACATCAACTCGACACCACCTGCCACGACCACATCGGACTGGCCGGAAGCAATCAGGCCAACAGCTACAAGGTACAGTTACAAGTACAAGCTCATCTCTGGTAGAAAATAACAAGCCACTGAAATTTAAGCTTCTCAATTAAAAAGCTGATAACAGTTGTACAATCTCAGTAATTAGTTTTCACCTTTCTAGAGGGGTGAACATTATTTTGTAAATGACCCAAAATGTTCAACAATATGAGAGAAAAACAAGTATCACTCAAGCCACATGGACATCAATTTCTGGATATAACCACTGGGTCAACTCTCAAACCATATTCTTTTATTTATTCAAGACAGGGTCTCACCATATAGTCCTGGTTATCCTCCTGCCGCAGCCTCCAGAGTACCAGATTACAGGCGTGAGCTACCACACCCAGCTTCAAACTATATTCTAAGTCAGAACATCTTGCATTTTTATGAGATTTTTGTTTGTTTTTTGTATATTTTGTTTTGTTTTTTGAGACAGGATTTTACCACACTGCCAAGGCTGGCCTTGAACTCAAGATTGTCTTGCCTTAGCCTCTCAAGTAGCTAAACACTACAGCAACACCACCATGCCTAGGTATCTTGCATATTATTGTTTTTGTTTTGTTTGTCTGAAGCAGGCTTTTGCTGTGTAGTCTAGGCTGGCCCTGAACTCACTATGTACCCCAGGCTGCCTCAAACCTGTGATCCTCCTGTCTCAGCCTTCTGAGTCTAGGATTACAACCATAACTCCCAGTGAAGGTGGATATTTTATATGCTCCCAGCATCAGTTTTCAGAAAGTTTTCCCTACAGAAAATGTTCATTTCTACTACAAACCAGAGAAATTCTAGCTTTTGAGATGAAAGGCAGCCTTCTCTCTCTTTATGGCCACTGACAAGTATTCTGTTACCCTACCTGGAAGCTGATCACATGTTGTGTTACAGTGTCTTAGTCACTGCCTCTGGCATTCATTTCCTGCCATGCACAAGTTGGGCTGACCAACCTGGCCTTGATTTTACTAAACCAGCACAAGAGGACCAACCCTATCAAGTTTTCTGTCTACACACCAAGGGCTGATGCTACAAAATGTCCCACAATATTACTGAAGTTAGAAGTTGCAATGATTTATAGAAATGACAGGAGGTAGGAAGAATGTGAGAGAAAGACTTGTGCCATCCAAAGCAGAGATTTACAACTCAGGTCGCGGGGGAGGCACAGAACCCTCTCTTCCCAGGAATCATCAGATCAGAACCACCTCGTGCCTCTGGCTCTCAAGCATCCGCCCAGAGGCATGGTTCCCCGGTTGCAGCCACACCACTACTGATAAAGGGAATTCCTTAAGGCTGGGCCCTTGTGTATGGAAATCAAGAAAAAGGCTGAGAATTGTCTGTCAAAAACCAAAATCTATATGACCTTATTTTTAAAAAACATAAATGAAGAGATCTGTACTAATTGCTTATTTCTGTTAAGTTTGTCCTTCTTTCCTGGGCCTGCAAGTGAACTCAGGGGTGCTCTCCTATTGAGGTATTCTCCCAGCCTTTTAAATTTTATTTTGAGACAAGGCCTTACTAAGTTGCCTAGGCTGGCCTCGAATTTGTCACCCTCCCACCTCATCCTCTTGAGTAGCTGGGATTACAGGCGTGCTACACCACACCTGGCTAAGATTACTTTTAATGATACAAAAAACAAAGGAGTAAAACTAACATGGTATTTCAACACTCCTGTGAATAAAATTAAAAACAAACACACCTGTGGTCATGGCCTGGTTTGAGGAGATGCAAGCCATGGTGACAGTGTGAGCAGGAGTCTTGTCAGAGAAGCCAGCTCCAAGGGCAGCCTTCAGGAAACACAGTGAATGAGACAGTCACTTAGGAAGAAATACGCTGTATGACGTGACACTCTGAGTACTACTACTCTGCCTGGAGAATCAGGAAGAGATTTTATTTTAATGCGCTACAGAACAATGTTTAAAACAAAATTAAGGCCATCACATAAATGGTTTGCCAGTTTTTCACCTAGCCATTAATTGACAGGCATGATGCAAAATTCCAGGCAGCTACATTCTAATGTGGTAGAAAAGGGTACGACAGTCTTTTGTCTCACCTAATTTCTTGGCAATGCTTTGCTCAGAGCCTTCAAAAATATCAATTTAGTACTTTTTGTTTTTGTTTTTGTTTTTCTTCTGGTACCAGGAATCGAACTCAAGACCTTGCGCTTGCCAGGCAGGCGCTTTTGCCACTGAGCTAAATCCCCAGCCCCTCAATTTAATATTAATTTACTTAAATTTTCAAATATAGGTGATGGAATGATGGGATATATTATGGAGTGATGGTCTCATGATCTGTGAACCTGAAGTTTCACAGTTTATTTGTGAACCAAAAACCAAAAAATATGAAAAGATGCCAATGTTCCTGAAGAACTGATAACTCATAAACAGTTCCCACTCAGGTGCCTGCCTGCTTGACTCTTCTCTCTGCCAATCACTCAGATTGCACACTACAGACCCGAGGCAAAGCAGAACTGCCAGCCTTGCCAAAGGTGGAGCAGCTCAGTTGAGTGAGAGACGTTGGAGAACTGCTGGAGTTAGGGGTGAGCTTCTGACGAATATGGGTCAGAGCAGCTCACAACTGGCAGAGCTGGTAGGATGGTGACCTGAGCAGTTCACTGCAAATGACTTGAAGTTTGAAACCAGCTGAGAAAACTGGGACCTTCCATTAATCTGGCAAAAAATAGCCTACATTGCTCAGATTATCAGATGCAAGAATGAAAGACTGCTCAAACCATTAAAGAGAACAGAAAAATAATTCTTCAGTAAAATGTTAAGAGATAATACAGAGTTTCACTAGACAAGATGGTAGGAGTTCACCATTGTAATTCCATTCCATATTGTTACCTTCAAATCAGTTGCTCAGACCACCAGACACAAGCATGCAAAGTCAATCAGAACATAAAAAATTGTGAGCATTAACTGTTCATTTCTATACACCCTCAGACATCAGCAATACAGTTATCGCAGTTATTCATATATATATTTATATTTTGCCTTCCTTCTTTCTTTTTTCTTCTTTCCCTCATCCCAGTTGTTCCTTCCTTTGAGCAATTTCTTTCCCTTTCCTATCATCTATTGTACATTTTGAGTTTTACCTAGTCTTTCAGGTTCCTACACCAAGGAGACAATATGATGTTTACACATCTGGGTCCAATCTATTTCACTTATAAGTATGGTCTCTAGTTGCATCCATTTAACTACAAAAGCCTCAAGTTTATCTTTTTTAATAGCTGAGTAATACTCCATTGTATAAAAATACCACATCTTTCTTATCCATTCCTCAGTGGATGGGCATCTGGGTTGTTCCCAAGATTTAGCTATAACAAACTGCGGCTATAAACATGGATGCACATATATCGCTGTGGTATGATGTCTTTAATTCTTCTCGGAAAATACTCAGAAGGGGAATAGCTGGGTTAAATGGGACTTCCAGTCCTAGATTTGTGAGGAATATCCAAATTGATTTCCACAGTGGTTTCACCAATCTACACTCCCACCAGCAGAGGAGTAGGGTTCCTTTCTCCCCACAACCTCTCCAGCATTTGCTACTGGTTGATTTCTTGATGATAGCTATTCTCTCTGGGGCGAGATGGAATCTCAGTGTTGTTTTAATTTGCATTTCTCAAATGACCAATGATGTTGAACATTTTTTCATGTATTTCTTCGCCATCAGTATTTCTTCATTAGAGAAGTGTGTATTCAACTCAGATGCCCATTTTTGGATTGGGTCTTTGAATTTGGGGGGCCTGATTTTTTTTTCCTTCTTTATATGTCCTAGACAGAAGTCCTCTGTGTGAAGGGCAGTTGGCTAAAATTTTTTCCCAATTTCTGGGTTTTCTTTTTACTTTATTGGTGATTTCTTTAGATATGCAAAAACTTTTCAGTAAGATGAGATCCCAGTTGTTGATTCTTTGAAGTATTTCCCATGCAGTTTGGTCTTTGTTCATGAACTCTCTGCCTGGCCCAATGTCGTCAAGATTTTTACCTACTTTCTCTTCCAATAAATTTAGTGTTTCTATTTTAATATTTAGATTTTTGATCCATTTTGACTTTAATTTAGTGCATGGTGAAAGACATGGGTCTAGTTTTAGTCTTTGGCATGTGGAAAGCCAGTTTTTCCAGCACCATTTATTAAAGAGGCTATCTTTCTTCCATTGAACATGTTTGGCCCCTTTGACGAAGATAAGGTGACTGAGTGTGTTTGAAAGTTGTATCTGTATCTTCTATCTGTTCCACTGATCTTCAGGTAATGTGGCTGTGGGTCCCAGCCCTAGCACCAATCCCACTGCCAAAAAAAGCTCCCAAACTTGCCCCCCACATTCTGAATCCTATTACAAGGAATTCATCTTTAGTAGCCTTTTTCTGAAAATATTTAATTGCCCTCAGAAAACAAATTTTCCTATAGTTTGGTAACATAAGTGTTTCCAAAGCCTAGATTAATGAGCGTCCCTGTCTCTCAGCTGATCTTTACTTTATACTATTTATCATCTATCCTTGTAGAAATCGCAGTGTGTCACAGTGGTGTGCAAGCAACATGACCTTATTCTCCTCCCTCCAAGTAGGAGTGACACTAAGTACCCAATCAACTTGGCTAAAAACGACTGCAAGACAACCTCTTAGCCTCAACCAGTCCAAAGGGAGACAGGGAACATGCTCGGCAGGCAGGAGAGACGAGCTCTGCAGTAGGGTAAGGGTAAGGGACGTTCAGGTCACAGCAGCCGGATCCTCACCGGAACCTTGCTAGCATGTGCTACCCTTGGCCCCAGCTGACCCTCGGACTGAAGGAGCTGTAAATAGAAGTGGTAACTGGTGACCCTTGTCCAAATGCTTCTATTTAAAGTTTGAATAGTTCTCAAGGCACTAGGGGGAAAGGAGGAGGGCACCACTTAGTTAAGCTGGAGTGCAGGAACTATGCGGAGGTCTTTCTGCGAAGTCATGTTCATAGGAACATCAGAAGCCTTTTAGAATTTAGATCCTAAAGAAATTCCTTAGCTAGAATTATGCTGGTTCTTAGGTTATAATACAACCTTAAAGTAACACTGTCATAATTATCCCCTCAATTCAGTATTTCCCTGCAGTCACTGGAGAATTGACCTGGAGTACAACCTGACTGGAATTATTAGTATAGGGCAAGGGGAAGGAACTACCTCATGTCAATCACAGCTTAGATTTGTATATGGATCTAAAATCTCCAGAAAAAAATTCACAAAAAACCATGGCTTTCATGTTAGGAAAGAGAAGCTGTATAAGGAAAAGTGAAATGGATTTAACATCTACATTTTAAGTGCTCTTATAAAAGTCACCTTATTTTCACAACATAAAAGTTGAAAATGTATCATAAACAGCTAGAGGGCTTTTTATATACTTTATAAAACTCTCATGGATACATTCAGAAATGTAAAGATGCAGGGGGCACAAGACTCCAAAAGAAAAACAAAAACCTCTTCATGTTCTCACTTCCTTTCTGCCCCTCAACAACAACATACAGTTCATTTCTGAGGACTTCATGCCAGGCATTTGGTGGTTTTAACATCTACTGCCACAACAAAAATGCACAGTCCTGCTCAGGTGGCCTTATCCCTGGGTTCCCAGCCATCTGAGTTATCACTCTCACAACTACACTGAGCACAATCACAAGCCCAGAACTGAAATAAAGCTTAGCGCACAGTGCTTTATAGCCAACACTATCCCAAACCAAGCCCAGAAGACACATTTGGACTGATCTCGGTGAAAAGCCTGGGGCACGTATCACAGACGTCCAAGGCCAGGTGTTATCATGAGTGCCCCATAAGCACTACATGGAGCCATGCCAACTAGGGTAAAAGTAGACGCCTGTGAAATACTTCTTTCGAAATCTGTCCATGTGTCATTCAGTCAATGGGAACAAAGCTAAGTCCAATTATAAAAACCAAGCTATGAAGTTAGTTCTCTGAAAAACACTGAGATTTTAAATAGTTATAAACTATATCTAGCATTACTACAAAAGTAACAGCAGCCACACATTGCCATAATCTCTGTTTTTCTAAAACAAGAGACTAACATTTCCTAAACCAACTCAAACAACTGATTTGACTTACAGTAAAACAGGAACACATACTAATAATGTATATTATTTGGTTTATAGTGCAATTCTTTTAAATATTAAGTTGTAACATTACATTTTAAGTCAAATGTAAGGTTAGCTAATGAACTTTAAGTAGATATTTTTGTTTATTTTGTGATGCTGGGGTTTGAACTGAGGGCCTCATGTATACGAGGCAAGCACTCTACCACTGAACTCCATCCCTCACCCTTCAATAGATTTCAATGGCTTTCAGCAAGTAAATTCTAGGGCTAAAGTTGTAGATCCATGGTAGAGCGCTTGCCTAGCATGTTTAAGGCCGTGGGCTCAATCCCCAGCACTATAAAAAAAGAAAAGAAAAAGTAAAAAATCAAAAAGTAAATTATATTGGTTGAGATTCAAACTGATTTTCCTACTAATCCCTTTAAACAATACAAAGGTTATCTTACTCACCTCTCTAGCCACGTTGCTTGTTTTCACTTCCTGAATAACTGTGCCAAAGGTGATATAATCAACAACTTCCTTTGGGACATTGGTCCGATGTAACAAACCCCTGAAAACACAAATGCAAAGCGAGGAAAAATTTCACACATTGATGTAGTGCCAGGTATCCTAACATAAAACGCTGCACTTCTGTAAGAAGGCAAGCCTTGGGCTGGGCCGTGAGAGTGCTCGCCCAGCATGCACAAGGTCCTGGGCTGATCCCCAGCACTGCAACAAATAAAATTTTAAAAAGTAAGCCTTGAAAAGGGCAGGAGCTACATGTTTTCTTTAATCTGACAAGCACTTGGCCCCTAATCGCAGAAATGAATAAAACAGTGATTTAAAAACTCAACATTTCATGTTCAATGAATTGGTAATGAGAAATTAGGAAGGAAGAATAAAATATTTAGAATAAGATAAAATAAATAAACATAGTAATGTCAGTTAATGTCAGGAGAAACCAACATTTTCAGTAAAAGGAGAAGAAATACAAAATCAAAGAGATGGAGCAAAATGATGATAATATTAAGTCAAAATTTGAAACAGCAACATAAACACATGATTTAAACTAATTTATTTATATATGTATGCATGTATGTTCTACCCATAGGTAGAAACTAGAAGCAGTAACACTTCAGCAGAAATGAGCACACCTTGAACCCACACCTGGTTCCTAAACGTTATTCCCTATTAAGGAGACAAAGGTTTCTCCTCCACCACCACCACCACCCCCGCACTGGGGATTAAACCCTAGGCCTTCTGCACTGAGCTACATCCCCACTCATTTTTGAGACAGGGCCTTGCTAAGTTTCTAAATTGTTCAGAATGTGCTCAAACTTTTGATCCTCTTGCCTCAGTCTCCTTGAGTGCTGGGATTATAGGTATGCATCACCAGCACAGTGAAACAAATGCGTTTAAAGAAATGACTGATACTTCTGAAGCAAAATACAAAGTAAATCTCAACATCTTTTTTGTCCCAAGGTAAGAAAGCACTCAAAAGGAACCATAGCAAAAGCAGGAACACGGGTATACATATCTGGCAAAGCTCATCAATGTATACACTTCAAATCTGTGCCATTTTATCACAAATTATATCTCAAAAATAGTACTATACTAAAAAACAAAAGGGCCATAAAGCCAACTTGGAGGAGGTCCCACAGAAGAGAAGTAGGATAATCTGAGCTTTAAAAAGGGAAACAACAGACATTCGATTCAACCCAGCTATTCCTTTACTAGGTACCTTTCCAAAGGAATTAAAGATATCACATTACAGTGATGCCCGCATACCCATGTTTATAGCAGCACAATCCATAATCGCTAAATCTTGGGAGTAGTCTGCATGTCCATCAACAGATAAATAGATAAAGAAAATTGTATTTATACACAGTGGAGAACTACTCCATAATAAAGCAGGGTAAATTTGAGCTATCTGTAAGAAAATGGATGCACCTTGAAACTGCAATGTTAAGTGAAATAAATCAAACAGCTTAAAAACCACATTAGCATGGCGTGGTGGCACATGCCTGTAATCCCAGCACTCAAGAGGCTGAGGCAGGAGGATCGCTGCAAGTCTGAGACCAGCCTGGGCTACAAAGTGAGCTCAAGGCCAGCCTGAACTGCATAGTGAGACCCTGTCTCAAGAAAAAAAATGAGTCCTCTTATATGAGAAATGCAAAGTATAAATAAAGAGCAAAATAAAAGATACTAAGAAACAGAGAGATCTTTTGTAAATGGGAAGGGAACGAAGAAATGGAGGGAAAAAGAAAGAAGAGAACATGAAAAGAATAAGATGTCTCATGGATATGTGTGAACTCCCCACAATGAATATAATTATTAGGTATCAAAAATATATACTAATAAAAATAAAAAAACAAAAGAGTAAGGCTAAAGTTGGTATAAATAAAAATCCTGAAGTCCCTCATCAATTAAAAAAAAACAAGCAAGCTGACAGAAAAATGTCAGTCAATAAATAATGTAAGAAGAAAATAATGAGAAAAATTACAAATTTGTAATCTCTAATCTAATAACTGATTCAGGCCAAAATTATCAATGGATGCGAAAACCCATTTGATAAGAAGCTGTTGGAGAACAGAGTGTTTGCAGAGCACTGAGATGCCCCTATACAGACTGCTCGCCAACTCCAAAGGGAAAAGTGTGCCTTTACCATCAAAAGATCAGGTAGTTTGATCACAGTGTGACCACCACCACCAAGCTGTGAGATTCAGCATCAAACACATGTGCTCCTTGATGTGACCAAGGGTATTCTTGCCAAAGAAGAAACATTTAACTTGAATCTATCAGCTTGCAGACCTAATTTCCAGGTTACAGGAAATTCAGGAGAGGGAAGTTAAATATGAGGAAACTCCCAGAATGGGACATTCTATAGTACAGCAGGCCTGGACTTTTCAAAAACTCAATGTCATAGGGAGAGGGAAGGAAAAAAAATGTTCTAAGTCAAAAGAGAATAAAGAGACCTATCCTTTTATAATACAAACTCTGATGAGGTTTAGGTTTGAAAATATTTTCTTTTTAAGAAAAGACAGTTTTAGAACAACTGATGGAGATTTGTATATGAACTAGATACGGGAAGTTATCATGGAATCATTATTTTGGCAATCGGGTAAGCAAAGAAGTTCCTTATTTTTAAGAGATACAAAGTGAAATACTTAGAGCTTAAGTGTCACGATGTCTGCAGTTTACTATTAAAATGATCCAAGCCACACAGAAAGAGAAAATTTGGCAAAATGGTAACAATTATTAAATTTAAGTGGATGGTATTTAGGTGTTCACCATGTTATTTCAATTTTATTGTATGTTTTAGTGTAAAATAAAAAGTTGTAAAATGTGCGTAGGACCACAGTAACGCCCTTATCACATAGGAAGACAGAGCTGAACATGTGCAAAGACACACCTACCATGTGCAAGACCCTGAGGCCGATCCCCCCACCACCACCACCACCACTGAAGGAGGGGGGGTTAAAGCCAGCTTGGGAGAAAAGGTGATTTTCAACTTAAGATGGCTAAGAAAAGAGGATAAATTTAGAGATGTGGGAGTCTTCTATATTTAAAAATAAACATTACAAGGATGCTATTTTTAACGGAAAATGTGCATTTAGGAAATGTAAATTCTAAGGACCAAAACCTGCAAAAATTCCTTTAAAATGGAGAAAAAAAGAAAAGATCCAGTTTCTGAAAAAAGAGAAGAAGCCAGGCATGGTGACATAGCTATTCAGGAGACTGAGGCAAGAGGATCACTTGTGCCTAGGAATTCAAGGCCATAATTCAAAAAAAGGAAATTTTCATAAAAAGTAGATGATTACTATAGAGCCGTGGGAATGGAAATGATTACATAACGAGAGACAGTTATGAGTACAAAGGAGAAAAGCAAGGCTGGCAGAAGAGAAGACACAGTACAGAGTTAGAATGGGTAGAAAGGTCCCATGAGGATCATCTCCCTATAGGAAACACCTGCGACACTAAGGCAACGCATCACTGAAAGTGAATTAAACAGTGCCTTTCTAGTTATTTCTACCTCAAAACCAGCCACATATTTTATGACCCTCACAAAATTAATTCATCCATCTCAATCTCATTTAATCACATCTTGTATTTCACTTGGTTTGCACATAAATCTTCAGGTTTCTAGGCTAAGCTTCTTTCTAGAAAAACATCTGTTTGGCTACCCTGACACAGTAATTAAGTGCCTAACACAATCATCAAATCCACGTATTGTGCTTAGGCTGATAATCTAATAGACTAGGTAGGATACTCATTAATGATTACTGTCATGCCAAGACACTGTCTGATAAGCCTGCAAAATAAAGATCACTGACATTCATAAGCTGCTCAAATTTGTGCAGCACCTATGGATAAAAATGAAAAATAAATTAATCTTGTAAAAGATAACGGTATTTTTATTATATAATAATCAATATGTCCTAGATTGAAAATTCCACAGAGCATCCCATGTCAAGTATAAAAACTGAAGAGAGTTGTCTTTAATAAAATAAGAACTAAAATAAAATAAAATTGCTTTTACTTACAAAAGTGCTGCTCTAGCCAAATCATGTGGCATCAGCTCTTTATACCTGGGGAAAGAAAATATAATTTAAGTCAAAAGCTTAGAGCTTCAATAAATTTTATTTCATTTTATTTGAAATACCAGGGTTATCTAGCATACGCTGCTGAAAATACTAACTTTATTCAAAGCAGCCCATCAACTAAAATGAAGACATGATGTAACTTTGCTATTGAGCATCCTTACAAATCTGGCAAACATTAACTCCTACAAACCTTGCTAAGAGCCGGGCATGGTGGTACACACCTGTAATCCTAGCACTCAAGAGGCTAAGGCAGGAGAACTCCTGTAAGTTCAGGGCCAGCCTAGGCTACATAGTGAGTTCAAGGCCAGCCTGAAATAGTGAGATCCTATCTCAAAAAAAAAAAAAAAAAACAAATTGCTAAGAATCTAAAAAAAGCCAGGCATGGTAGCACACGTCTGTAATCCCATCCTGCAATCCCAGCACTCAGGAGGCTGAAGCAGGAGGATCATTGCGAGTTCAAGACCAGCCTGGGCTAGAAAGTGAGCTCAAGGCCAGCCTGAAATGCATAGGGAGATCCTGTCTCAAAAAAGACAAAAAAAAAAGAATCTAAAAAAAGAATGCTCTACACAGTAGTCTTAACTTTATCCAAAGCAGCCCAACAGTAAGAAATCTTATTGTTCAGCATGACATGTTTAATGGTACATTCTTTAAAACCAAATCCCACCTTTTGAGGGCTTAAAACTTTTCTTTAAGGTACATTGTTGACTTTTTTTTAGTGCCTAAAGGCTATAGAGAGGATGTACTAGTACTTTTTTGTGTGTGTGTGTGGTACCGGGGATCGAACTCACAACCTTGTGCTTGCCAGGCAGGCACTTACACCACTGAGCTATATCCCCAGCTGTACTAGTACTTTTTAAGGAACTTTTTGCTTCAAAGTAATTTGAGACTTACAAGGAAACTGAAAAAACAGAAGAGAGTTTCTCATACCCTCTTACCTTGCTCCTCCTAACGTTACTATCTTACGTAACCACAATGTATTTATTAAAACTAAACAACACTAGCACAGTGTTATTCAGTAAGCTATTAACTTTACTTGGATCTCACTAGTTTTTCCACTAATATCCTATTTCTGTTCCAGGGTCCAGTCCAGATTACTATGCTGGCTGGGGAAATAGAACCCTTCTACACTGTGGGCAGAAGTATAAATCAGTACAACCCCTGTAGAATGGAGATTACTCAAAAACTGAAATTAGAAATTCCACTCAACCTAGTTATTCCCTTTCTAGGTATCTTCTCGGAAAGACATTTATTACAGTGACAGTTAAAGACATTATATTACAGTGACACACGCAAACCTGTTCTATTTCTAGCAGCACAACTCAATGACTAAATCTTAGGAGCAATTTACATGTCTATCAACAGATGAATGGATATAGCAGATGGAGTATTTATACAAAATCAAGTACTCTCTGCCACAGAGAAGGACAGATTTGATTCATCTGTAGGAAAATGGATTCACTTTGAGACCATAATACAAAGTGAAATAACTCAAAGAAACTTACATATCACATAGCTTCTCTTTATGAGAAATACAAAGTGTAAATAATTTAAAGAACAAAATAAATGGTAACAGAAAACAGGGAGCTGTATCTCCAAATGGTCAAGGAATCCAGAGATGGGGAGCCAGGAGAGGAGAGGAGGGCAAAGGGAAGCGAAAGGACTAAGATGTGAGGTGTGTATGCACCAACTCCCCCGGATGAATGCATCCGTTACACACTGCAAGTGTGTACTAAAAAAACCTTTTTTAAATAAAATAAAGGTGGTCTTCCTGGCCAAGAACTTTATTCTCTTGATAGTACTTTTTTTTCTACCCTGTTGCTGCTGAAGTCTTCAGATTATCTTCGGCTGTTGTGTTGGTAAAGGACAGTATAGTGAGAAATGTTGTCATGCTTAGAAACAGGGTGGGGCTGGGGATTTAGCTCAGCGGCACAG